TTAAAATGAGACCTCTCCCAACTCTACATGACCTTTCTTTGCAAAGTTATAGAATTTACACGAAGAGCCCTAAATTAATTTCTTATTTCTGTAGCTTTTAGCTGACAATGAACATTTAGGGCTTTTGTTGTAAATTCTATAACTTTGCAAAGAAAGATCTAGTAGAGTTGGGAGAGGTCTCATTTTAATCATAAATGTGCGGGCTACAATCAAGCCTCATTAAGAAAGGTTCGGGTTATTTTTTGGAGTTTCTGAAAAACTGGTTTTCTAGAAAACCAGGTCTTCGAAGGCCTAGCAGCAAAAACCATCGTCATATTCGGAATCAGCATAATCGATAACCTATTTTCCACTAGGTTTCAAGAAAAAAGCGAGCGGACACTTGGGGCAGTTCCCTCGTTAGTGAATAAGTGTGTATTGTGTATGAAAAAAATCGTTTTGAGTTTCCTTTTGTTAATTTGCCTGTTTTAAACTCGTTGTCTATCGGTGTTTTTAGATTGTAAAAGATTAAGAAATGCCAGAACATTTGAAACGAAAGGCAAGCGATGGTTCTGCTAAAGATGCTGATGATAAAAATCCATCAGTGTCGTCGAAACAATCGGAAATTGATGAAGATAATGACTTTATTGAAACAAGTGCAAATAAAACACTTCAAGCTGTACAAGAACATCATTCCACACAACAAGTATCAACAAGTGCAGACATGGTTATTCAGAATGTCATTGATGATGATGGTATTGATTTAAAAGCAATAGGAAAGTGTCCAAATAAAAAAGTATGGTGATTTATTTATTCAAAATAATATGAGTAAGAAATTGCGATAGCGGGATCAAAACTTTTTACTCCCAGTCCCAGTAGTGGTTTCACAAGAAAATGTTTTGTCCTAGTCCCACCGACCATAAAGATTGTGAAAGAAAACAAAATACCAGAAAAACGCTCGGTTTTTGCAAACTTTTTCGAAAAAGCGATCTTTGGAAGATCGTTCAGGATAAAAAAACAGTCTTGAATTTTTAAATTTTTAAAGCTAAAATTCTGAACAGTTGAAAGAATAAGTTTTATCTTGATTTTGACCCAATGCAGAGGGAAAATGATTTTTTGTCCCAATCCTATAAAAAGTCCCATCCAGCGGAATAGTTTCTCACATCTTTAGGGAAATGTGAGATCAATCAATCTTATAATAAACCTTTTTTTTATCTTAATAGAAAAAAGCATCCAAAGAAAATGATTCTGTGAGCGTCGGTCAAGCTGATGACGATAATGTGACTATCACTATCTATTTTCTTGCTGAATATACTTTTATATCAAGTGCTAAAGAAGCAGATATAATGGATGATAATAATTATTTATATATTATGTTTTATTGTAATCCACAGTTTCATTTACAAGACGATTTGTTTGTCGACGATGGCAAAACACATTCTGATATATTCAAACGCCATTGCGCTGTAGTTATTGCTTTATGGCAACGTGTAACATCGTCACGAGGAAAATCAGTTAAAGACACACATATACCGATGTACAATGTTATGTTTTCGCCATTAATGTTGGAATTTATATATAATTCAAGAAAAAAATTCACAGCACACCAACTATTACCGGCCAATATTGCTAAACAATATTGTTTATTACATGGATTGAAACTAGTGGAACGCGGACATGGTAGTTTCGCTGCGACTTTTTTATCGAAGGCAGTTAATCAACTAAGAGCGACAATAGAAAAATATGAAACGGCAATCGTTAAAAATTTTTCAGTTTTTGGCGGTGGTACAGCTGCTCATGATATATTTCTAAATCATGAAGAATATTTATATGGTTTGAAATATAAAAGAACAAAAACGAAACTAGCAAGATAAACGCGTTTCTTTTCTTCGACTGCGATCAGATATAGTGGTTTATATTTTTATTTTTTATTCTTTGTGTGTCAAATGTGTGTATAGATTGGTTTTGAATATAGGATATATTTATTTTTATTTTCCAGTATTTGTCTTTTCATGTATTTGATTTGAATAAGATTATCGTTTGTTAGATTAATAAGTAAACAAATAGTATTTGTTGTTTTTCTAAATTGGTAAAATGGTGCAAACTAGGAAACAGAAAGTTTGAACTGTTGAATTTCTCTTGTGCAATTAATGGTTAATTTGGTTTTATTAGCTTGAGATCCGTAAGAACGAAGGAGCCTGGAAAACCTGTGGCTCAGAAACTGATCGAGACAATGACTGGATGAGCTGAAAGAGAGAGATAACAGTTGTACCTTGATCGTTTTGAAAGTAATATAGGAAGTGTTGGCAGTTTTTGTGCAATTTTCAAGTTTTGTTTTCTTATGGCTAGAAATGGTTTTCGTTTCTGACGGATTCGTAGAATATTGTTTTTTCTCTAGATTAAATCACCGTCTAGTGGTATTTATTCTACCTCATCAATGGAGATTATTAAAATGACACCTGCACAACTGGTTGAATATTTAAGATGTGGAAATTTGAGTTCGATTGAAAGTGATTATGAAACCTTGATAGGTAAAGGTAGTAAGTGTTATTTTTTAGTTTTCTAATACAGGTACCGCAAGTTCTAATACTGCAACGCATAACTCGAAATAAAAAGCTGAAGAATCTTTGATGATTTGCAGATAAAGTCGTCCAAGTGGTTCAGTATAGAACTCAGCTAAAACTTCATGAGTTTACGGTTAAAAAATACGCGAATCGCTGATGCGCTTTAATGAAAATGATTTGATAGAAGGAAGTCGACACTGACGCTTTGAGTATTTGGTGCTCATGTCTTTTATCGGAGAATCTGTGTTGATTTTCGCTTTAACAAATGTGATAAATTGTTTGCTAGTGGTTTACATTCAAAATGAAGGTTAACGTTATAATAATCAGAGTTTCTTTTTCTTTTTAGCTCAAGGTATAGATGGAGCGTCGTTATTTGTGTTAACCGACAAGGACGTTATTGATTTAAAGCTTACGATTGGTGCAAGAAGAAAATTTATGGTGTTTGTTGAAAAAATGAAGAAGAATAATCAACCATCGGTACCTGATGAAGCTGCTGGCGGGCCTGTTCCTGTGTCTTCGTCGGCAGCGTCAATTGATGTAATACAAATTATATTCATGTCTTCAGTTAGTACAGAAATTTTTAAAGTACAAGTTACAAATGATGCTCGTTGGCAAAAAATAAAGGAAGATACAAAATTTTATGTTGAAAAAACGTGTAGGTGTCAATCTGCTTTAGTTTATTTGTTATATCTAGTGTGTTGTGAAACTATTCTTTTAAAAAAGAATGTTGGTTTTTGATGGGCATATGAAAACGGATACTGTTGACTGCCCATAGTGCTAAAGCTGTTTTTTAGGGAGATTAAACACGTATGTCTATGAGAGGAACTTGAGATTCTAAGTTTCCTCCCACAAGGTTATGTCTTTCCATTTATCTAGAGTTTCAATTCCCGGTGAGTTGCAGTTTGATAGGTAGTATGTAAAATTATTCATTTTTCGTATCATCGTTGCATTGTAAACTTTTACATTTTATTTTTCTATGTTAGTTCACAAATCATCGGACGGTGTTCGAAGCACGAAATTTTATTCAGAGAAAGGCTTCACTTTTCCACTACATTAGTTAATGCTGATTAGTTCGTAAACTAAGTTTCAATTAAGTTTGTTTCATTTTTTATCCTGTTTATTTAGTAACAGAAGAGTCATGTGTTGATATTTTATCCACCATGGACAAATATCGATTTAAATTTCCAGTGTGGCGTCTTGGTTCGCTCAATTCGTTGCTTAATTGGTTAGACGAAGCCTTATGGCATGATCGTGGTTCGTTGCCGGCAGATGAAATTGCTCAGGATTATGCTGATGGTCATCAATTGGTCACTGTTTACACGAATTTATTGGGTCATGTTAAACGAATACTAGTGTCTATGAGATGTTTTTTTGTTAGTGAAAAATTAAAGAAACCTTTTGTCGATCCAATAGATGGGATTGATATAAAAGTAAATAAAGGCTTATGAAAGTTTCAAATAAATTTACATAAGACTATTCTACTTTTCAGATCTATGACTCATTTGATAAATATCACAAGATACAATTTAAACCACTTGCGTCACAAGTGGTTGGATCAAGAAATGATGTTACCGATATGTTAATCGATTAGAAGTATTAAAAAAGTTGACAATAGATCATAATCAATGGCTGATAACTGTTCATGTTCAATTTTTTATGTGTAGTTCCTTATTGTACAAATTCAGCTTTATTCGTTTCCAGTGCTATTTACAAATTCAATTTTACTGGTTTTTTGAGTGTTTAACTATTCATATTTAAGTAGTAGAATTAAAAGAAAAAGAAACTGACTTGTCAGACATTTACCTCTCATTATTGTTTAATTGATTAATAGATAGGTTTTTCTGGTCATGAAACCTGGACCTAAAAATGAACCGCTTACATTGCTTTTCGTGTTAGACGAGTTGTCTCATGAGTAAAAAAGCTAGTGCAACTTAAGTTTCGAACCAGTTGAATTGGATATTTGCGTGGCATTTTGAATTGCTTTTTCTTCTTATCTTTAGATGCCATTGATGTTTGCTTGGTTTTACTTCTGTCATAGTCTTGATGGACAGATGATCTGTAGCTCTCAGCAAACTAAGCGTCGCATATCTGACCTTTAGTTCTACCGTAGCGAAAAATAAGCACAACAGAATCGATTACGCGAGTCTCAGACTTTAAAATTTCTGATGAACTCATACTGCTTTTTAAAGCAAGCTTTCAAGTGGGCTTAGTTTAAATTGTTCTATAAATGAACCTGAAAGACACAAAGGCAGTTATAACAGATTCATGCATGAATCTGTTACCGAAGCATGCTTCGGTAAACATTCGAAGTTCATCAAAAAAACTATTTGTTCAATGCTGAACTTGGTGGCATTTCTACAGAATAGTAGACCAGGTTCGCAAACAGACAGGCGTGTACTACATAATCATTTTAATATCGCTGTCCATCTGTTTTAGAATTATGATGGCTGATATTACTGACGACTATGTTTCTGATTCGCCTATTTTTGATCATGTATTGGATTTAACAGTGCCCAATTTTTTTGAGAAAAATGAAAAAGATATTATGACAGATGTTCCACCTACAAAAATAAATAAAATATTACCTTCATCATCAATATTGTTAGAATGTTTGTCTGACATGGTGTTATTTGATGAAAAAACAAAAACAAGAGAAAGAGCGATTGCTACCGTTTCCACAGCAACGACAACAATGTTCAGAACGACCGATGTGCAAGAATCAACAATGAATTTATATTCAGCAGATGAATGTTCAAACTTGTTTGTTTTAACAGCAAGATTGAATGATCTGAAATTAAGTCGTCCAGAATCGTTCAGACGTGAAATGTTACAAAAACGTCCATTTGAGCCGTTTAAACTTACAATCGAATTATACAAATTTGATGATACATTAATGACGTCGTGTGACTTTACACCATTTAACTTAGCATATATAATCTTGTCTTCGGGAATGATTAGAAAATCAAACGCATCGGCTACGTATCCTGTGAAGACGTTATTTGATTTTGCTGTCATGTGTGATCCTAGGAATCCAACGTTGGATTGTTTATTGAGAATTGAAGCATTGGATATGTACTATAATTGGTTACAGATTTCCATAACAAAGAATCAAAGAGACGAACCGTATTTCTCTCATACAACAATCATGCTTCGTCTTATAAGTTTAATTTACGGCCTTGATGTAATCGAAGTGGTACATTGTATGTACGATACTGTTTTCTATGAAAATCTGGTATGCTAACGTTTTCATCAATTATGACATTTCGTATCAAGCTTTATTTCGTATAGATCAAGCCAAGGCTTCAGTTATGTCGCAAAGTTATCCGTGTCAAAATAAGTTTACAAAAAACAGCTCTTGAAAATGAAAAATCGGCTCGGGATCTGTCACGTTTTAAACAAATAAAGTAAGTTGAAACATGACTGAGTTGTTCTATTGCTATTCTACGACTTGATTAGTCTCTGTTGTACTTCTTTTAAGTCAAGACGTCAAATGGTTCAAAATTATGATTAAAATGATTAATGATAAAACATTAAAAAACAATATAGTCAATGACATAAACAATTTATTAAGAACATTCAATGCACAAACGTATCAAAGATTACAGGATTATGCATTATTTAGAATTGTTCTTGTAAGTTTGAAAAATTCATGATACACATCTTTCTGAGCAATATTTTATTTTTTGATTCCACCTTCTTTGCCTTGTTTTGCGTAAATCGTTTACAGCAGGTTTTTTTCACAATTCAGAAGTGATAATATGGAATAATTAAATGCTAGTTATAAAATCGAAGTTTTTGTTTCACTTTCTCTGTCCATGATACGTGCGTCGATGGTGAACGAGTAGTTATCGGTAGGTTGTGAGTGGAGTAAGAACCTTCATTGAGTCATTTTAATTTGAAAACATCATGTTCATTCATTATTTTTGCAAACTGAAGAAGGAAGAAGATTCTTCCGAAACGTTTTTGAAATATAATTTCTGTTAATAAATTTAAAAGGAAGAGTTTAGAATCAAAAACTAAGAGAGTAAGTCTTCTATACTCTAAAACTGAGAGTAATTGTACTACTCTGAAAATACGAGTAAACGCTTTACTCCCTGGGATGTTCTCGTAAACCAAAGACCTAATTTTAGGAGTAAATTTTTTCAAAAAGCAGGGAGGGTTCTCTCCTTATCCGGGCGCCCCTGACCATTGTTTTATTGTTTTCTCATAGATTACTGGATGTCGCTATTCAACATTGTTGGGAATGACAATCAGAGAATTTTTGTGTGCATCATATTCTGCAGAAAATGAATGGTATGTACTTGACGTTAAATAAAAATACTAGTTTTCCGAAAAATCGACATTTCAAGAAAAAACAAAATTTTTGTTAACTGAACTTCATTCAAAGTCTGCAGTAATTTTAACATATAGGCAGTTCGATCTCCTCGATCGATCGGAGTCAGTCTTATCATTAGAACACACTTCTTTAATGAACAGTGAACTTTATAAAAAAAGCCTCCTAAATTTCTGTAAACTTTTAAAAGGTAAAAGAAAATGGGAAGAACGTGTCAGGGAGGTTCAAACGTCTCACCATATATGTCAGTCGACATGGGCAAGTGATGTAAAAAACCAGGGGGAGTCCGCCGCCCCTTAAATGCATAAATGATTTAGCTTACTATATGTGTAATCTGTAATTATTATTATGGGTATCAAATAATAGTCACAAATAACAAAAATAAAAAAGCAACAATTGTGAACGTGCCTAAGGATGCATTTGAAATTTTATTTCTACTACTGTTTTGTGTTGATGAAGTTAAAAATTATCGTATCTTGAAATAGAAAAAAATACGCGAAGAAAAAAAGAAAGCTAAAACAGCAGGAGAGGTTGAAATGAATCAAGTTCTACTAAAACATTTACGTGATAAAACATTTCCAATGGTAGAAACAACTACTATAACATCACATGTAAGCACAAGCATTTTTTTAACTGCTCTCAATAAATTCGGAAACTTGAAAAAGAGTAGACATGTAAGTTTACTGTCGTACTGTAAATCCCATTTAGCTATATCGGGATGCTAAACTTGAGAGATCAAGATGAGCGGATTAACCGATAATCAGGCCTCCTCGACAAAATAGTATTTACCTTTTTGATAAGTCTTAATGGGAGCGACGATAAGCATTCTAGAATTTCTTTTTTTGTTATAGATAAATTTGACACATGACCAGTTTATGAAAACAACAGTACTGCCGATTATTGAAATGAATCAGGTACTAACAAGCAATTGTGATAAGCAGAAATTATTGTTAAGCCCATCGTTACAAGAGGCCACACAAGTAGACCTTCGAAATTTATTATATTATTGGCAAAAAACTATACCAGATGGTGAAAAATTAAAAAAATCACAAATAAAACGATTTACATCTCGTTTTTATCGTGTTTATATAGCCATATTAATTGCTCCACATTTAAATCAATTCGAACGATCAATATGCGGTCAATTTTTTGGACATGCTATGAAGATGCATATAAATGAGTATGAAAAAATATATGGCTACGGGACAAGTGAACATATTAGTGAAAAAATTCTTAATGTTATATCAAACGAGCATAGTCGAAAAACCACATTTGATAAAGCGTACGTTTTTTAATACAATCGTTTTTTTTCGCGTTTCGCACGATGCAACAAAATCAATATCCCACGGATAGGGTGTTGAGATGAAAAACGAATGGCATTGTTGTTAGAATTGCGGTATAAGCTTTGCTGTGTTTTTTGAGTATGTTCACAGTCAACGAAAGAACGACAAGAAGTCATTTTGAAAAAAAATATTACACAAGTACCTGAGTAATAAACCTCTTTACATTTCATGGATAAATATTGTGGTTGTAGATATGAAACTCTTTCTCCCTTTACTCTATTAATAAGCAGTCGAAGCACAGAGCTTACAAGCGCTTGGTTTTGCCACTAGTGAAACCAACGATCTATGTTCAAGATATAGTTAAACCATTGGATAGTGCAGTCAAATCCGCTTAAAAAGTATTTGTGAAATGTCCCTCTTAACTAGTGATTTCTCTGAAGTTTGTTTCTTACAAAATATAGAAGTATTTCTATGTTTTAGAATTGATGAAATGTTTAATACTGCTGATGACAATGAAGCAGACGTTGCCGATGATCAAGACAATACAAGAGAAGAAAGACTGAGAACATTATCCACATTCATTAGAAATAATATTGATGTCAAACAACAACTTGAGAGATATTTAGGCAATAATATTCGTGAAAATACTACAAATCAACAAAATGCCAGGAACTCAGTCATATGGGTAGTGAGTATTAAATCATTTTTTATAAATGATAAAACAAACATTACAATCTTGTTGTATTTTTTCCTATTCAGACAACACAAGAAAGTAATAATCCAATAGAATTTAGATATAAACGATCACCAAAGCCACAGTGATAGAATACTACGTAAAAAACCATTCCAATAGTTTTTTGTTTGTTTGTATTTGTTATAGACAGAGTTGATGTTCTTCTGTTTGTGCCATTTTCTAGCGTTCAATATGTTTTTTTAAATATAAGATTTTTATTTAAATAAAATTAACGTTAGATGGATAAATATTGTTATTCTGATAGTTTGTCTGTTGTTGAGAAAATGTCTATTGTCGTCATTGAGATTTACGAAGACATAGCTTTCTTTTAAAGATGTTGTTATCGATAATCGGCAAATTAGAGGAAAAACCCAATAATCATTTCATTGAAAGTCCATTAGCGAATTCAAAATGTGAAAGTATTGCTTATCAGCAAGATGAATACTCAATACTAAAAAATATTGTTGGAAGTCAATGTGAATGGGTGTATCCAGAATTTTTTGTGTAAGAAAGCGCTATTTAAACAGGTCACTGTTCAGGTAGTTATTTTACCTGTGCGTTTGTTGGCCGATTATTACACGCTCGCAAAAATTAAAGAATTACATGCCAATGTTATAAAAAAGGTGTTATTGTCATATTTGAATAGTACACGAGGTGAAAACAAACTATTTCCAGTGCATAATATTCCATATTCAAAATTGAGTATGGATTATTTTGCTTATTGGAATATTAGTGACGCGACGCGCAAAAACCCGTCATCCGAATGTGTGAAACAGTATGAATTGCGTACGTATAACATGGCTAAGTTTACCACTATCATAGCACACGTTACGTTTAGTTGTGTTTTCTAGTACATGGAATAAACCGAAATGTCACAAACAATCAGATTTGTTCGATGAATTTTGAAAATATTCTTGGAAAAATACATACCCAATTACAAAGAATTCATTTTACCAGTGATTCGGTTGTTAAAAAATCAATTGCACACTCAAGAAATTATTATGAATTTGTAGTAGATGAATATAATAATTATCATCATGCACCGAAACCATTGATATTAAATGTTACAATCAATTGTGTGATTCGTCAAAAAAAACTGGCAATATCTGACGATCGATGGGAAACGATGACAATAATTCTTCTTGATTATTTTCAAAAAACATGTGCATCAGAAAAATATGTGTATCGTCCATTTTACAATGTTGCATATGGTAAACAAGTTTTGCTGTATTTATATCAATCAAAAGGCGAAAAATTAGTAACAAATCTCGGACGATCAAACTTTTTGACATTACCAAAAAAATCAGCTTGTATAGAATATCTATTATTACATGGCATAATAATTACTGATCGATCGTTGATAACAGCAAAACACTCATTATTGCATATTAGACAACAGTTACTAGAAAAAATGGGTGAACACCATAGAAAGCACAATTTTGTTAGAAGCTATCGAGCACAAGATCGTATGGTCATACCAGAATATCATCATTTAAAAGAAATTCAGAAAACACGGTAAATACATACTTGTGACTACTGGTTTTAGTCTTCTTTATTTTTTTTCTCTGTAATTTATATTGTGTCCGATGTTTTATCCTTTTTTCGGACATATTTTTTGTGTTCATTCACCTTTGTCGTTTGATATGTTTGTTTGTTTAACAGAATATAAATTCGAAAATTTTTTTTGTGCTCTTTGGCTACAGTAACAAACTATATTCTATAAATATAGAAACTAAGGCTATGATTAATGTACATTAATACACCATAGATTTAACCAAATTTTCCCATGCTAATTTTTATCTTGACTTTGTATTTTTTCTGTTAATTTTGAATAAAATTTTTCTAGAGCAAATGGAAATGTTAATATAATAACAAATAGAATTTGTAGTTAAAGATGATCATTACCGCCTCTATGTTCCGATGAAAAGCTACTTTTCATCCTTCATTTTTGCGTCTTCTAGAAATTAGCAGATGGCAACAAAGTGTAGAGCACTCTTTTCTTTCGTTTTCATTTATTTGCAATTGACTTGAATGAAATGCATGTAAATGGCAGGTCCGGTAAAAAATTAGTTTTATAAAGTAACAATTAGTATCAAACGATAAGCCATCGTTAATCGACTGAAATTCCGTATACGAACATGTCCACTGCTCGATGCATATCGGTCAATACAAGCTAACATCATAAACCAAGAAGAAGTGAATTGTGACGGATCAATGATGTACAGGCGCACTTTACAAAATGCCGATATTGTTGCCAAGTCAAAACCTAAAGTTGCACTAATTTTCACTAAATAAGCAAAGTATAATGCCAGTGTACATGGAATCGTGGTTGCTAAAAGGTAGACAACGCATGGATTGCTAATAGGTAGACAACGCATGGATTGCTACGTAACGCTTTCCGGGTGAAGACAATAATTGTCAACAGATTACCAATCGTGCCGAAAAATAGAAAGGGAAATGCAGCATAAAAATTGATTAATGGCGTTACATAGAGAATAGACGATAAAAGATTATCGGTCGATGTGTTGTTAGTACTCATGATTTACTGCTAAGATCTTTTTATTTCTGGTCTAAATAAAATAAAAATAAAAAGTGGAAAAAGTATAACTATGCAACGCAAAATGGAGCGTCCGGTTAATATAAGTAGACTTACAAGAACAGAACATTAGATTGGGTCTCAACTTTTACGTATTATCACTGAAAAACACCAAAAGGCGGAAAGAAAATAAAAATAGGTTTGATCACCAATATTACTAATTGCGAAATAAGATCCAAAAAATAAGACATTTGATCACGAAAAATTATTCCATGTAAAATGATCACAACAAATGAAACCTATTCGATAAAGAAGTTCTTGAGCTACAATTTGATACATATATAACATAGGTAAAAAAGGCTCCTAGCGCACTTTGACATTAGAAATGTTTCTGCAAAGCCATGGCAAGCGGGTGACTCGTTCAACGGTCAGAATCCTATGATCTACGTCTCTCACCCGATCACTACAGTAAATATACCACTATTAGAATACCATAATAAACGTAATAGTAATAGTATAAATGATTTAATTGCTTGTCTTTCTTGAGATCGTTCTACTTTATAATAAGATAATAAAAGTAAATATAAATTCATCAATGAATATGGTAATGTTAGGCATGTATAGGATAATATTTGTATTAGTAATATTTTTATT